CCAGCAGCTCCGGCCTCGGCCAGGGGTGCAGGGCCCGGGCACCTGGGCCGTCCACTGCTTTCTCAGGCCAGACCCGGCTGAGCTTTAACAAGCTGGTGCGAGTTTGGTTTAGGTAGGAAGTTGTTGCTGCCATGCACGGTGTGTCTGTCACATTGGTCATAGACTTCTCAAAGCTCCTTCTATTTGGCCACAGCTGCCTTCCCGGACAGCCCGGCGCAAGGCAGGTGCCAGGAGGGCGGTGCTGGGGCACCACAGCCTTCGAGGCCTTGCCGGCAGGAGACCCCAACCATAACAGCTCCATTCCCACCCTCTGCCCAGTCAGGGGCCTGCGGACACCTGAGTGGCTACCCCTGTCAGTGGGGGCCCAAAGCTCAGCTCAGCCTGGTGTGGGCCCTTCCCAGGCAGGAAATCCATCCGCAGGGAGGCCAGCCTTACACACCCAGTGCCCTCGGGCCAGCGTGCCGTCACAGGCTAGAGACGCCTCGGCTGAGGCCCACGGGGCCCAGGGCGGCCCTGGCTGCTTCTCGGTGGGAGGGACTGAACAGGGCCAGTGCATGTCCACACCGGCCTCCCTCCCACGCTGGACACCTGGGTGGGTGCTGGAGGTGTCTCCTGGGGCCTCAGGGGGCTGTCCCTGGTCCCCCTGAGAGCAGACCTAGGGGGCATCCTTACTGAGCCCCCTTCCTGTCCTGCAGTTTCCTAGAGATGGCAGAGGCGCGACGCCGTGGCCACACGTCCCCAGGGGCCACCGCTGGGCAGAGCCCACCCCCAGGTTCCCAGTCGCCCGCTGGGCCCACGGGCACCTCATCTGTGGGCAGCTCTGGCTCCAGCACGCCCCAGTCAGCTCCTCAGCTGCCCCTGGGGGCGCCTCCCACTGGCCCCCCCCAGCCAGCCCCTGCAGCCCTCCAGGGATCTCTGCCCGCCCCCACGCATCCCCCCGCCCCACGGAGGAGCATCATCTCCCGCTGGTTCGGCACCTCGCCGGCCGCCGACGCAGCGCCCCCACCCCCAGGTAGGTGCTAGGAGCTGCCGCCAGCCCCGCCCGCTGTGGCTGCGGCCAGGGCCAGGGCGCTGGGGCAGCACTGGTGTCCCCGCCCACAGAGTCCACGCCCGCAGCTCCCCAGCACGTGCACAAGGTGGAGGACTTCGTTCCAGAGGACAGCCTGGACCGTGGCTTCCTGGAGGACACGGCCCCCCAAAAAGAGGAGAAGAGGGGTGGGGCTTCCGTTCCCCCACGCGACAGCGACAGGCAAGGGCAGGGCCAACCCGGACACCTACAGCCACGGGCAGGGACCCTGTGGGTAGGGAGGGGCAGCAGGCCATACCTGCCTATTGATCCCCCACATACTCTGACCTGGTGGCCCAGGGGTCCCCAGACTGGGCTCTGTGTCCCCCCAGGGCTCCCCTTGGTGTCCCTTCCTGCCCTGGCAGCCCGCAGGTGGGGCTCCAGATGGCCAGGGGACCCCAGTGACCCAACCCTTCTCCGGGCAGTGATGGCGAGGCTGTCGGAGGGAACCCCATGGTGGCCGGCTTCCAGGACGACGTGGACCCCGAGGATGGGCCTGGCAGAGTGCTGCCGCCCTCACGCCCAGTGCCCAGCAAGGACGTCAGCCTCTCCAGTGAGGATGAGGCGCCGGCCGCCGCCCTGCCCCTCAAAGTGGCCGGCCCTGCTGCCCCACGGGGCTCGGAGTCGGACCCCAGACGGTAGGGAGCTGGGGCCTGGGGGCAGGGGGACCGTGCCAGCCCGTGGGGAACCTGGCCTTCTCCCCGTCCCCAAGGGTCCACACCAAGGCGTCCCGGGTGGCGCCCGAGCCTGCACGCCCTGCGGAGGGCACCCCAGATGAGAAGGGGCGGGCGTCCTCCTCGGAGAGCGACCCCGAGGGCCCCATCGCTGCCCAGATGCTGTCCTTCGTCATGGACGACCCCGACTTCGAGAGCGGCGAGTCGGACACGCAGCGCCGGGCGGTGAGGCACGGGGCCAGCAGGCGCGAGGCGGTGTGGGCTGCCCAGGCTGCGGGACCTGACCCACCGCGTCTCCCAGGCCGAGTTCCCGGTGCGGGAGGACCTGTCGGACGCCAGCGACGAAGAGGAGGCTGCCCCGGGCCCCGTGCCGCCCCCCAGGGCCCCCGCACCCTTGAAGCTGCAGAACCACTCAGATCTCTTCGGGCTGGGGCTGGAGCCCGCAGACCCCCGGGGGAACAGCGACCAAGGTGGGCGTGCGCGCGGCTGGAGCCCGCAGACCCCCGGGGGCACAGTGACCAGGGTGGGCGTGCGCGGCTGGAGCCCGCAGACCCCCGGGGGCACAGTGACCAGGGTGGGGGTGCACGGCTGGAGCCCACAGGCCCGCCTGTCCCCAGGCCGGCTGGCAGCTGTGGTGTCCCCGCAGGCCGGGCCAGCAAGCCGCCCACCAAGGAGAAGAAGAAGAAGAAGCACCAGGGCCGCGAGGTAGGCCAGGCGGGGATGGGCGCGGGGCACACCCCTGGCCCCCGGAGCCGCTCCGAGCCCTCTGTCCCCGCAGGACGACGACAAGGCCGGCAAGAAGGGCAGGTCCAAGGGCAGGAGGGACGAGGGCCGCGAGGAGCGGCGGCGGCGGAAGAAGGAGAAGAAGGCGGCCGACGAGCTGGAGGCCTTCCTGGGGGGCGGCGCGCCCGGCGGGCGGCACCCCGGGGGCGGCGACTACGAGGAGCTGTAGCCCCGGGCCGCTGTGTGCCAGGCTGGGCCCCGCGGGGTGGGCAGCCCGCTGTGTACCAGGCTGGGCCCCGCGGGGTGGGCAGCTCCCCTGGCGATTCTCAGGGATGTGACTGTGGCCAGGACGGAGCCCGTTGCCGTTTACAGGGGAGGGGGCTGCCCGGCCCGTCCAGCATACTGTCCGGCTGCTCCCCAGGCGCGGCCAGGCGCTGCCCAGGGGGGCCCGTTGCCGTTTACAGGGGAGGGGGCTGCCCGGCCCGTCCAGCATGCTGTCCGGCTGCTCCCCGGGCGCTGCCCAGCCGGAGCCAGGCGCTACCCCTGGCCGCCCACACTCCGCTCACCATAAAGCTCTCTTGTCACCTGCTGCGCTGTGTCCTGCTTACTGCCGGGGGCAGGGGGGACGGCGTGGCCGCTCTGAGGGAACGGGGCCCAGCAGCCCACCCGCTGTCGCCATGGAAACCCCTGGGGGCGGCAGAGCGCTGTTGGTGCCACAAGCAGGGGGAGGGGTGCTGTGCCCAGATCCCCAGGCTGGCCACCATGCCAGGCCCATGAGGACCCTGGGAAGGGGAAGGTCACGCGGGGCGGCTGGCCACACCGGGGACCCAGGAGCCCCAGCGCCCGCACCACCAGGCTCTGCCCGCCCCCAGGCGGAAGGTTCCAAGGCAGGGTGCCCAGGGACGCAGGGTTGGGGCTTGACCAAGGAGTGGGTCACGTGTGCGTGGCCACGCAGACCTGGACCTGGGTGGCCATCTGCCTGGTAGCCACGGGGAACTTGGCGCCTTGTGCGCGGGGCCATCGCAGGGCGGCCATCTGCTCGGCCTGCGTCCGCAGGGCTGCACCCCGCGGCCCTGGCCAGGCCGGCAGCTGCTCGCGCAGGTGTCCGGAGGTGAGCCTGGGCAGCCGAGCCGCGCCCCCACGACCCCCGCAGCCCCCCGCAGCCCCGCAGCCCCGCAGCCCGGCGCGGCGCCTTTAAGCGCAGCCCCTCCAGCCGCCGCCGCCGGGGGCAGCACCGAGCCCGCACCGCGCCTGGAAGCTTCTGCCGGTGCGGGACGCAGCGCAGCCCACCGGGGCTCGGCCGGGAGCGCGGCGCAGGTGAGGGGCCCGAGCTGCCCACCTGCCCACCACGCGGGGCCGCGGCCCCGGCCATCCCGGCGTGCCTCCGCGTCCAGGCCTCTGCCGGCATCCCGGGCAGCGCGGCCGGGCGGGGCAGCGGCGGGGGAGGGGGCGCCGGCCACCCACGTGGGCTCCGGAAGGTCGCGGGGCCGAGAGGGCCGCCCCTCCCGCGGGCAGGGGCTGTCGCGAGCCGGGGAGGCCGGCGGCCACCTCCCGGGGGCGGGGCCTCAGCCCTGTCACCGCGGATGCCGGCCTGGCCTTGTGGGGCGGCTAACGGGGACAGCTGGGGGTGGGGGCGAGGCTGCAGAACCGCAGTGGCCCTTGGGGTGCACGGGCGTGGGCTGGCCGGCGCAGCAGGTGAGGGGCCTGGCCCGCACTCACCCCCGCGCCCAGCGTGCAGACTGAGTGCGGGGTGGGGGTGGGGCTGTCAGGGCGCTGAGCCCCTTCCCCGCCCGCCCCAGGCCCTGGGGACCGTCGCTGCGTGGCCCACATCTGAGCAGGGGCCTGAGGCCTGGGGTGGGCTCCGCCCGGCCCCGCAGCCCCGCAGCCCCGCAGCCCCGCAGCCCACGTCTCCGCGGGGCCTTCGCCCCCACCCTGCTGCTTCCCGCTGCGGTTGGCACAGTGCGGGAGAGTGGCACCCGGAGCCCCCCACGTGGTCCTGGCCGCCGTGCGCACGCGGGGTGGGGGTGGGTTGGTGTGTGGGCTGCCCTGCCGCGCGCCCCCTCCCCACCCTGCGGCGGCTCGGGCCAGAGGATGCTGAGGGGAGCAGCTCCAGGCTCCGTGTGCTCCTGGGGGGCCCCCCGGCAGCCGGGAGGAGAGGCCGGTGCAGCGGTGGCCGTGGACTGGGCAGCGGGCATGTCCCTGGGGTCTCCCCGACCCTGCTCAAGGACCCGGTGAGCCCTCGTTCCAGCTGCGGGCACCAGAGGGCAGCAGCCCCCGGCCCGCAGCCCCTCGCCCAACCCTGCGCGTGGCTCCCTCCCGCAGGTGCCTCTGCCGCCGGCATGGAGCGAGCGCCAGAGGCTGAGGCCTGCAACCAGGGCCGCTGCGCTCCAGGTAAGCAGGGCCGACGCGGGAGGAGTGCGGGGCCTGGGCTGCACAGGGGGTCGCCCTGACCCGTCCTCTCCCCACCCACACCCCCAGGGCAAGAGCCCCTACAGGCCGAGTGAGCTGGGGCCGCCAGCCTGGTGACTTGGTTTAAAATGACCCGCACGGACCCACCAGACCTGCTAGTGTCAACCGTGTACCAAGACATCAAGGCGGCGGCCCCGGGGCCCGCATCCCGGCGCCAGGCATGTGAGCGGCCGCCGGCCCGGCCCGCCGCGCCCTTCAACAAGCGCCACTGCCGCAGCTTCGACTTTCTGGAGGCGCTGGACGGGCCAGCCATGGAGCATCGGCCGGAGCCGCCGGCCCCGGAGCCGGCCCCGCCGCGAACCCGGCCCCGGGACGGCGAGCCCCGGCGGCGGGCCCGCTCCAAGAGCGCGCCCCGCGCGCCCCCCGGCCTGGCGCCCGCGCCGGCCTCGCCGCCCGTGCTGCCCCGCCGGGGCCGGGAGCCACAGCGCGCGGCTGGGGCGGATGGGTCGCCACGCAGGGAGCCCGCGTACCCCGCGCTGCGCGCCCTCGCCAACGAGCTGCACCCCATCAAGCTGCAGCCGCAACGGGGCGGCTCCGGTCGCGTCGCGCCCCTGTGCGCGGTCCCGGGCCGCTGTGCGCCGCCCGAGCCCCCCGCAGGGCCCGCCCCGCACGTCCGCTGCCGCCTGGACATCAAGCCCGACGCCGCGGTGCTGCAGCACGCCGCGCGCGGTTCCCGGCCCTGCGGGCCCAATGACGGCCCGCCCTGGGCCCGCGGCCTGCAGGTCCACGGCCTCACGGTCCCGGGGCCGCGCCGTGTGGCGCTGTCGCGCATGCCCACCCCCAGCGACTTGTACTGCACCGACCCACGGGCGCTCTACTGCGCGGACCCGCCGCCCCCGGCACCGCGGGACTGCGTCGAGCGCCGCGGCCCGCACTTGGCCGCGCCGCCGGGGCCCACCCAGTTCTTCTACACAGAGGAGCCCGACGGCTACGCGGGCAGCTACGTGGCCAGCCCCAGCCACGCGTTCGACGGCTACGGGCCCAGGCCCTACCCATCCGAGGAGCCTCCGGGACCCAGCCCGCGGCGTGGGGCCGCCTACTACCCCGGCGAGGCGCGCACGTTCCCGATCCAGGAGCCACCCGCCCGCTCCTACTACGGGGAGGACCCGCGGGCCTACGGGCTGTCCAGCGGCTCCTGGTACGTCCCGCAGGAGCCCCGGGCCCACCTAGCAACCCGTTCCTTTCACGCGACCGACTGGGGAAGGTACCGTGAGCGCGAAGCCATGACTCGGACTTACCCCCACCCGCGCAGCAGTCCGGCCTGGGCCGACTGGGGCCCGCGCCCGTACCGCACCCTGCAGGTGGCACCTTCCCCGGACCCGGGCCCCTTGCTGGCCTCGTGGCACGGAGGCACCGGCACCAGCCCGCCCAGGCTGGGCACCGACAGCCGCCACTATTCGCGCTCCTGGGACAACATCCTGGCGCCCGCGCCGCGCCGGGACGACCCCCTGGGCCGCGGCCGCAGTTACGAGAACCTGCTGGGCCGCGAGCCCCAGGGCGCGTCGCCGGAAGGTCGGCGCCCGCCGCCGGTCGTCCTGAACCTGTCCACCTCTCCCCGGCGCTACGCCGCGCTGTCGCTGTCCGAGACGTCGCTGTCGGAGAGGGGGCGCTCGGGCGAGGGCCTGGGCCGGAACTGGTACGTCACCCCCGAGATCACCATCACGGACAACGACCTGCGCGCCGCCGAGCGCCCGGGCGCCAGGGGCTGGGAGCTGCCCGGGTCCCGCGCGTGCGCGCCCGCCGTGGGCACCGCCGCCACCCCGGGCCGCCAGCGCAGCCTGGAGCAGCTGGACGAGCTCATCACCGACCTGGTCATCGACTCGCGGCCCGCGGCGGCCCAGGCGCCCGAGCCCCCGGCCGACGGCCTGGGCCGCCGGCTGCGGCGCCTGCTGGACGCGCGGCCCGCGGGGGCCGGGGCGCCCGGCCCGGGGCCGGCGAGGGCGTCGCGCTCGCCCCCCGCCTCGGCCGGCAGCGCCGAGGAGCCGGCGGGCTCGGGGGAGGCGGCCGACGCGTCCCCGGAGCCCAGCGCCGAGGAGGACGACCTGATGACCTGCTCGAACGCGCGCTGCCGACGCACGGAGACCATGTTCAACGCCTGCCTCTACTTCAAGTCCTGCCACAGCTGCTACACCTACTACTGCTCGCGCCTGTGCCGCCGCGAGGACTGGGACGCGCACAAGGCGCGCTGCGTGTACGGCCGCGTGGGCAGCGTGTGCCGCCACGTGCTGCAGTTCTGCCGCGACAGCGGCCCCGTGCACCGCGCCTTCTCGCGCATCGCGCGCGTCGGCTTCCTGTCGCGCGGCCGCGGCGTGCTCTTCCTGGGCTTCCCGAGCCCCGGCTCGGCCGACAACTTCCTGCGCTTCGGCCTCGAGGGGCTGCTGCTGTCGCCCACCTACCTGTCGCTGCGCGAGCTGGCCACGCACGCCGCGCCCCTGGGCAGCTACGCGCGCGAGCTGGCGGCCGCCGGGCGCCTCTACGAGCCCGCCGAGTGCTTCCTGCTCAGCGTGTCGGTGGCCGTGGGCCCCGCCGCCGGGACGCCCGCCCGGCCCGCGCCCGCGCCGCGCAGCCCCGGGCCCACGGTGCGCAAGTTCGCCAAGGTGGCGCTGGCGGCCGGCAGCCCGACGCGCCCGTGCCCCGCGCCCGGCCGCGAGGCCGACATGGAGACGCTGATCCTCACGCCGCCGCCGGGCACGGCGGGCCTGGACCAGGAGGGCGAGGCTGGCCGGCGCGCGCGCCAGGTGGCCTTCGTGCACATCCAGCGCGAGCTGCGTCTGCGCGGCGTCTTCCTGCGCCACGAGTTCCCGCGCGTGTACGAGCAGCTGTGCGAGTTCGTGGAGCACAACCGGCGCTTCACGCCCACCACCATCTACCCCACCGACCGGCGCACCGGCCGTCCCTTCATGTGCATGATCATGGCCGCCTCCGAGCCGCGCGCGCTCGACTGGGTGGCCAGCAGCAACCTGCTGGACGACCTCATGTGAGCCGGGCCGGCTCGCCCTCGGTGCTGCCCGCCGGGCGGCGGGGTGGGCCTGAGGACCGCCCGGTCGGGCTGCGGGGCCCCACGGAGGCCCAGGCCCCGCCGCTCCCCCGCCGGCCCCGCTTCCCGCTTGTCCCCGCCGCTGCCGCGACCCCGCAATGGCCGGCCAGCCTCGCCCTCGGGCTGCGAGCGCTTGGAGCCAAGTAAAGCCGCTGGAATGGAGCCGCTGCCGCCTCGTGTTTGTGGGATGGGAACCCGGACGCGGGGAGGGGTCAGCGGACACGGGGAGGGGGTCGATGTACACCGGGAAGAGTCAGTGGACACAGGGCGGGGTCGATGGACACGGAGAAGGGTTAGTGGACACGGGGTGGGGCAGGGTGGATGAACATGCGGCAGGGGCTGATGGACACGAGGGGAGGTCAGCCCCATGGGGGTCAGCGCGCACGGGGAGGTGTGGATGGACACGGGGAGGGGCCAGGGTGGATGAACATGCGGCAGGGGCTGATGGACACGGGGGGAGGTCAGCCCCATGGGGGTCAGCCCGCACGGGGGAGGTCAGCCCCATGGGGGTCAGCGCGCACGGGGGGAGGTCAGCCCCATGGGGGTCAGCGCGCACGGGGGGTGGTCAGCCCCATGGGGTCAGCCCGCACGGGGGGTGGTCAGCGGACACAGGGAGGTGTGGATGGACACGGGGAGGGGCCAGGGTGGATGAACATGCGGCAGGGGTTGATGGACACGCGGGCTTGATAGACACAGGAGGGGGGTCAGCCCCATGGGGGTCAGCCCGCACGCGGGGTCGTCAGCCCGCACAGGGGGTGGTCAGTCCGCACGGGAGGAGCACACACCGTGTCCCGCCGCCCGCTGTCCCCCTCTGCCCCGCAAAGCCCCGTCGCGTTCCACTGGAGCCACCCGCTCTCCCGGCGCGTCTCCTTTAAAAGCGCCTGCGCGGCCCAGGCTGGCCGTGATTGGCCCGCCGAGCCGCGGGTCGGCGCCCATTGGCTGAGGTCCCGGGCTGCGTTCCCCGCCGCGATTGGCCGCGGCGCCCCCGAGCCCGCCCCGCGCGGTGACGCCCTGGCTCGCGGGGCACGCTGGGCGCGACATGGCGGCGGCGGCCCTCGCGCGGGTCCCCGACGTGGACATGGACGCCGACGGCGTCTTCAAGTACGTGCTGATCCGCGTGTGCTCGGCGCCCTCGGGGACGCTGCCGGGCGAGAGCAAGGAGGTCGTGCGCGGCTACAAGTGGGCCGAGTACCACGGTGCGCGGGGCGGGGCTCCGGGGGTGGGCGGGGCTTCATACTAGTGGACCGGGCTCCCTGCGGGGGTGGAGCGTCTTTTGGTGGGCGTGGCCTCTCCCTGGGGGCGGGGCGTCTCGTGTGGGCGGGGCCCCTGCGGGGGCGGGGCGTCTCGGGTGGGCGGGGCGTCCTCCGATGGGCGGGGCCCGCTGTCCAGCCCGGGCAGCCTGGCCACGGCCGCCGCTGACCTGAGGCCGCCCTCCCGCCGCAGCCGACATCTACGACAAGGTGTCGGGCGAGCTGCAGAAGCAGGGCTACGAGTGCGAGTGCCTGGGCGGCGGGCGCATCTCCCACCAGAGCCAGGAGCGCAGGATCCACGTGTACGGCTACTCCATGGTGAGACCCATGCTGACCCGGGTGGGCAATGCCCGGGGTCCGACAGGCGGCCCACGCCTGCCAGGCCCGTGCTGGCCCGGGTGGGCAATGCCTGGGGTCCGACAGGCGGCCCACGCCTGCCAGGCCCGTGCTGGCCCGGGTGGGCAATGCCTGGGGTCCGACAGGCGGCCCACGCCTGCCAGGCCCGTGCTGGCCCGGGTGGGCAATGCCTGGGGTCCGACAGGCGGCCCACGCCTGCCAGGCCCGTGCTGGCCCGGGTGGGCAATGCCTGGGGTCCGACAGGCGGCCCATGCCAACCGTGCTCTCTCGTGCTGTCTCCCCAGGGCTTTGGCCGCGCCCAGCACTCCGTCACCACCGAGAAGATTAAAGCCCAGTACCCCGACTACGAGGTCACGTGGGCGGATGATGGCTACTGAGGCCTGGCCCCTGCCCCCCAACTACACTGAATAAACGTGTTGTTGAGCCGGGCTCTGTGTGTCCTGTGGTTCTGCGCCCCGGCCCCTGGTCGCCCCGGCCCCTGGTTGCCCCAGCAGGCTCCCCACACCCTGGCAGGCTGCCCTGGGGCCCCAGGGAGGGCCCTGCATACTCAGCTCTTCCGGCCTGATAAGCCCCCTCCCCCCGGGAGGCCTCTGTCCCCAGGGACACCTGGCGGGAGGCCCACCTGCTTCCTGGGGGCCTGCCCACACCCCAGGGTGCCCCCCCCCCCCCCCGGCAGCCCTGGCTGTCACAGGACAGGCCCCTTAGCACCTGAGGCTCTCCGCGGCTCCCTGGGTACAGCAGGGGCCTGAGCTCTGCCACTCCCAGCTGAGTCCCCGTGGTCTCCCAGCAGCAAGTCCTGGGCTGACCCAAGTGCTGACCAGATGCCAAGGCTGGGGCTGGCATGGCTGGGGCTGGCATGAAGGGGGCCTGAGGGGAGACAGCACCCACAGCTGGAACGGCAGGTAGAGGAGCCCCCCGCCGGGTGCAGCCAAGACTGACCTTTGGTCTGAAGTGCCAGAAGGGTGGGGACGCCGCCTGGGGCCCCTGCTGGAGGGGCTGCTGCAGCCCACAGCTCCGGCTGCGTCAGCACTGGGCAGGGTGAGGGCCCCAGGGCAGAGGGGCCAGCATCGTCAGCCCGTGTCCCCACGCCCCTGGCCCGTGGCTGATAACTGCCCCAAGTCCTGGGCGCTCTGCCACTCGGCCTCTCCCTGAGCCTCAGCATGCCTCGGCCTGGCCCCCTCCTCCCTGTCCTGGTGCTGCTCCTGGGTGAGTCGGGAGGGGGACCCCCGCTTCTGGCACACCTTGCCTGCCTCTGTCTGCCCTCAGCCCGGCTCTGCAGGGGGCTTTCTGTGGGGCGGCCCACAGCGCACTCTCACGGCAGCAGGGTGCCCGAGTGAGGCCTGGGTCCCCAGCCAGTGCAGCACCCCGGGCGAAGCCGTGTGTGACTTTGTGTGCGACTGCGCGGACTGCTCGGACGAGAGCCAGTGCGGTGAGCAGGGGCACGGGGCCTGGCCGGTCTGACCCCCACCCGTCCAGGGCTCCGCTCACTCTGGCTGACCCCGCTCCCCCAGGCTACAGCAGGCCAGCGTCCACCCTGGGCTCCACCTTCACCTGTGACTTTGAGCGGGACCCCTGTGGCTGGCAGGACATCAGCACCTCTGGCTACAGCTGGCTCCGTGACCGGGCAGGGGCTGTGCCCAGGGGGGCAGGGATCCGCTCAGACCACACGCTGGGCACTGACCTGGGTGAGGACCCCACCCCCCACCCCCCACCCCACGCCCTGTGCGCATCCTCTGACCCCTTGCCCTGAGCAGGCTGGTACATGGCTGTGGGAGTCCACCGCGGCAAGGAGCCGGCCACAGCGGCCCTGCGGACACCCATGCTGCGAGAGGCCGCGCCCACCTGCGAGCTGAGGCTGTGGTTCCACGCAGTGGCTGGGGGTGAGCCAGGGCGGGGCAGGCGAGCCCGAGTCAGGGCGGGGTGGGCGAGCGGGCAGGCGGCCAGGAGAGGCAGGGTGCAGCTGCCTAGGACCCCCACCTCACATGGCAGATGTGGCCGAGCTGCGGCTGGAGCTGACGCACAGCACAGAGACTCTCACCCTGTGGCACAGCGTGGGGCCCTGGGGCCCAGGGTGGCAGGAGCTGGTGGTGGTCACCGGACGTGTGCGTGGGGACTTCCAGGTGAGCCAGGGGCGCCGGTGCCCAGGGCCTGGGCTCAGCCGCAGCCTGAGCGACCCTGCACCCTCAGGTCACCTTTGCTGCAGTGCGCAACGCCACGCACAGGGGCGCCGTGGCCCTGGACGACGTGGAGTTCCGCGACTGTGGGCTGCCCAGTAAGCCCTGCTCTCCCACCCCCCTGCGCCAACCTCGAGCCCTCGCAGCTCTGACGCCCGCTCCTGACCCTGCCCGCCACAGCCCCCCAGGCCAGCTGCCCCCTGGGGCACCACCGCTGTGGGAACCAGGCCTGCGTGGAGCCCCACCAGCTGTGCGATGCAGAGGACAACTGCGGGGACCACTCGGATGAGGACCTGCCCACCTGTGGTAGGTGGGCAGGCTGCCACCCCAACCTCAGACCCTCCCCAGCGTGGGCAGGGCCCCTCCCCACCTGCGCCTGGGCCTGCAGACCCTCCCTCCCCAGGCCACCTGCTGACCACGGACTTCGAGACCGGACTGGGCCCGTGGAGCTTCTCTGAAGGCTGGGCACGGAATCAAAGTGCAGGCAGCCCCAGGCACCCCACCTGGCCACTTCGAGACCACAGCAGGAACAGCCCCTGGGGTGAGGCTCAGGGAACCGGACCTGCCTGTCTGTGCCCCGCCCTATCCATGCCCTACCCTGTCCCTGCCCTGCCTTGTCCATGCCCCGCCCTGTCCCTGCCCTGCCTTGTCCATGCCCCGCCCTGTCCATGCCCCGCCTTGTCCACATCATGTTCATGGCCCTGCCTGATCCCTGACCCGCCCTGTCCACGCCCTGCCCTGTCCACGCCCCACCCTGTCCCTGCCCCGCCCTGTCCATGCCCCGCCCTGTCCACTGCCCTACCCTGTCCACTTCCCTACCCTGTCCACACCCCACCCTGTCCACACCTCACCCTGTCCATGCCCTACCCTGTCCACGCCCCGCCCTGTCCATGCCCCACCCTGTCCATGCCCCGCCCTGTCCACTGCCCTACCCTGTCCACGCCCCGCCCTGTCCACTACCCACATCACAGGCCCCCACCCACCACCTGCAGCCCTGCCCACACCTGCTTCCCCAGGCTCCTTCCTGATCTCTGAGGCCCAGCCCAGTGCACCTGCCGTCCTCTCCAGCCCCGAGTTCCAGGCCTTGGGCCCCCACAACTGCTCGGTGAGCCTGGCGGCCGGGCCAGGGGCTATGGGCTGCGGGGACTGCGGGCTGTGGGGGCTGCAGGCTGTGGGGGCTGTGGGGACTGCGGGGGCTGCAGGCTGTGGGGGCTGTGGCCTGTAGGGGCTGCGGGCTGTGGGGGCTGCGGGGGCTGCAGGGGCTGCAGGCTGTGGGGGCTGTGGGGGCTGCAGGCTGTGGGGGCTGTGGGGGCTGTGGGGACTGCGGGGGCTGTGGGGACTGCGGGGGCTGTGGGGGCTGTGGGCTGCGGGGGCTGCAGGCTGTGGGGGCTGCAGGGGCTGCAGGCTGTGGGGGCTGTGGGGGCTGTGGGGGCTGCAGGCTGTGGGGGCTGTGGGGACTGCGGGGGCTGTGGGGGCTGTGGGCTGCGGGGGCTGTGGGGGCTGCAGGCTGTGGGGGCTGCAGGCTGTGGAGGCTGCAGGGGCTGCAGGCTGTGGGGGCTGCAGGGGCTGTGGGCTGTGGGGGCTGTGGGAGCTGCGGGGGCTGCAGGCTGTGGGGATTGCAGACTGTGGGGGCTGCGGGCTGTGTGGGCTGCGGGGACTGCAGGCTGTGGGGCTGTGGGCTGCGGGGGCACCACACTTCTTTGACCCATGCCGATTCCACAGTTGGTTTTCTACTTTTACCTGCACGGCTCGGAGGCCGGCTCCCTCCAGCTGCTCCTGCAGACGCAAGGACCCAGAGCTGCCCAGGCCTCTACCCTCCTGCGGAACCGCCGTGGGGATCTGGGGGCAGCCTGGGTCCGAGACCGGGTGGACGTCTGGAGTGCCCACCCTTTCCGCGTGAGGCCTGGGGCGGAGGGAGCCGTGGGAGGGCCCCTCCTCCACAGGCTCTGAGGGTGGGAGGGCAGATGGACGAGCAGGGAGTCCCGGGGCACGTCCAGGAGGCCCAGCAGGGCCAGCTGGGTGCTGACCACCCACTGCCCTCAGATCCTGCTGGCTGCGCAGACAGGCCCCGGGGGCGTGGTGGGCCTGGACGACCTTATCCTGTCTGAAAGCTGCAAGCCGGCCGCAGGTGACAGCCCGAGGTCCTCGCTGCTGATCAGGGGGCCTGGGCCAGCCCAGCACCCCCTGACCCACTTCCACCCCACAGAGACCAGGCCCCCAGTCACCCTCTCCCCGCCATGGGACCCGCAGCCCCGAGGCCTGTGCGAGCCAGGTCAGCTGGCCTGTGAGGACCTATGCGTGCCCCCGGAGCAGCTCTGCGACTTTGAGCAGCAGTGTCCGGAGGGCGAGGACGAGCGAGGCTGTGGTGAGGGCAGCTCGGGGGGGCAAGGCCCGGGCACCAGGCCAGCAGACTAGGTCTCTGAGCCCTGGCCCTTGTCACAGGCACCACAGACTTTGAGTCACCCAAAATGGGTGGCTGGGAGGACGCCAGCGTGGGCCGGCTGCAGTGGCAGTGGCTCATGGCACAGGAGAGCCCAGGGCCTGGCGTGGATGTCAGCGGGGCCCCCTCTGGTGAGCGGGTGGACCCAGGTCGCAAGTGGCATCCCCCGCCCTGCCAGGCAGGAGGGCACCTGTCCTGAGCACCGCCTTCCCGGCCAGGGCACTTCCTGTCTCTGCAGACAGCCTGGGGACAGCGGAGGGCTGCAGCCCGACTCCTCTCGCCTACCCTGGGACCCTCAGGTCCTCACTGTGAGTTCCAGCTGGCGTACTACTTCCAGAGCCACCCCCAAGGTATGGTGGGCAACGGTACCATGCAACCCACCATGCTCTCTGCATCCCCTGGTGCTCCCCTGTGGCCCGCCATGCTCCCGCCATCCCCTGGTGCTCCCCGCCATCCCCTGGTGCTCCCTTGGCCAGGCTTCCTGGAGCTAGCTGTGGTGGAAGGCAGCTCCCGAGAGCTGGTGTGGCAGGCCCCGAGCGGCGGCAGCAGGCACTGGACGACCGACAGGGTCCTCCTTGGGGCCAGGCGTCGGCCCTTCCGTGTGAGTGTGAGCAGCCGCCGGGGTGGGGGCCGCCAGGCGACTGGGCCCAGCTAACCACGCCCTTAACCACGCCCTTCTCCACCACCCGCCATGCAGCTGGAGTTCCTGGGGCTGGTGGACCCAGCCGGTCCTGGGCAGCAGGGGGCGGGGCTGGATGAGCTAACCATGAGACACTGCAGCGCCATGGCAACCACTGAGCAGGACAGAGGTGCCCCACCTACGTTCCGAACCCCAGAGCACCCTGAGGGCCCCTGCCTTCTCGGACCTTGGAGAGATGTGGGGGTGCTACAGGGTGACTGAGCCCTGCTCCCTGCCCTCAGAGGTCTCCTGCAACTTCGAGAGGGACGCGTGTGGCTGGTACCCAGGACACTTCACAGACGCCCACTGGCAGCGGGTCCAAAGCCGCGGCCCCGGTTACGACCACACCACTGGCCAGGGTAGGGGGCTTCCCTGCTGGGAGGGCCCTGTGCCAGGGGAGACCCACGCCACTCAGCCCTGCTTCTGCCCCAGGCTTCTTCATGCTCCTGGACCCTGCTGACCCGCCGGCCCAGGGCCAAGGTGCCCACCTGCTCACGGGGCTCCAGACGCCCACAGCCCCAGTGCAGTGCCTCAGCTTCTGGTACCACCTCTATGGTCCGCAAATTGGTGAGCGAGCCAGCGTGGACATCGGAGGCCTCCAAGGTCCTGGGTGTGGGAAGGGGCATCCTCCAAAGCTCGCCTGCCCCTAGGGACGCTGCGACTGGCTCTGAGACGGGCAGGGGAGGACACCGAGCTGTGGTCCCGATCGGGCACCCATGGCAACCGCTGGCACGAGGCCTGGGCCACCCTGTACCACCAGCCAGACTCGGGCGAGTACCAGGTGAGGCGTGACCAAACAAGGATTTAGGGTGGTTGTGCCCCCTCATGCCCCCACCCAGGTGCTGCTACACTCCCAGGGGCCCCCAGCCAGCAGACCCCGTGTGCCTCCCCCCAGCTGCTGTTCGAAGGCCTCCGGGACGGGTACCAGGGCACCATGGCGCTGGACGACGTGGCTCTGCGGCCGGGTCCCTGCTGGGCACCCAAGCGCTGCTCCTTTGAGGACTCACTGTGTGGGTTCTCGGCTGCCGGGGAGAGCTCCTGGAGGCACCAGGCTGGGGCCTCGGCACACAGCTGGGGCCCCAGCACAGACCACAGCACTGGGACAGCTAAAGGTACGGCCCGGCGGGGGCGGGGCCGGGCCAGAACCGCCACTGACGCCTTTCCACCCCAGGTCACTACATGCTGGTGGACACGAGCCAGGCTGCCCTAGCGCGGGGCCAGGTGGCCACCCTAACCTCGGGGGAACACAGGGCCCTGACGCAGCCTGGCTGCCTGACCTTCTGGTACCAGCTTAGCCCCCGCAGCCCAGGTGAGGGGTGCCCGGGGTTGGGGACGGGACCCACGGGCTTCCCCGCCTTCCCCCGGCTGACCGGGTGGCCGCGGCAGGCACCTTGCGGGTCTACGTGGAGGAGGGCGGGAGGCGGCAAGTCTTCAGTGTGAGCGCCCACGGGGGCTTCGCCTGGCGCCTGGGCAGCGTGGACGTGCAGGCCGAGTGGGCCTGGAGGGTGAGTGACGTCACGGTGAGGGGTTCCTTGCGTCTTGGGAGTTGCTGGGCCCGGCTAAGGCCGTCTCCGGCGCCCTGCCAGGTGGTGTTTGAGGCCATGGCCACAGGCGAGAAGCACTCCTACGTGGCGCTGGACGACCTGCTCCTTCAGGACGGGCCCTGCCCCCAGCCAGGTGCAGAGGGCCGGGCCAGCGCTGGGGCCGGGCAGGGGCCGGGGTGGGCAGTGGGCAGCTCCGCTCACATCTCCTCCCTCCCAGGCTCCTGCGACTTTGAGTCTGGCCTGTGCGGCTGGAGCCACCTGGCCTGGCCCAGCCTGGGCAGGCCCAGCTGGGACTGGAGCAGCGCTGCCACCCCCTCCCGCTACCCCCAGCCCCGCACGGACCACACCCTGGGCACGGCCGAAGGTGAGCAGCGGCTGGGTGGGGACGGGCAGGCAGCGGCCCCTGCAAGGCAGCTCGGCCCACCCGAGCTCACGGGGCCGGCTGGGGTCAGCGGGGCACCGCCCTTTCTTGTCCCCAGGCCACTTTACCTTCTTTGAGACCGGAGTGCTGGGGGCCGGGGGCCGGGCGGCCTGGCTGCGCAGCGAGCCGCTGCCGCCCACGCAGGCCGCCTGCTTCCGCTTCTGGTACTACCTGGGTCTCCCCGAACACTTCTGTGAGTCGGTGGGGCCGGCGTGGCGGGTGGCGGGCGGGCATGCCATCTCGCACCCCTTCAGGCACGCACACGCTCCCCGCCTGACCCCCGCTCCGGGGTCTTCTCTCAGACAAAGGAGAGCTCCGCGTGCTGCTGAGCAGCTCCCAGGGCCAGCTGGCCGTGTGGAGCCAGGGCGGGCCGGTGCAGCAGTGGCAAGAGGCCCAGCTGAACGTGGCCAGCACCCAGGAGTTCCAGGTGAGCCCCCCGGCCATAGCCCAAGCCCTCGCCCACCCTGGGGCCCCTGGCAGCCCTTTGCCTTCCCCGCCAGATGGTATTTGAAGCCACTGCAGACGGGCAGCCGGCCCTAGGGCCCATCGCCGTGGATGACGTGCAGTATGTAGAAGGGGAGCCCTGCCAGCAGCCTGCGCTCAACCAGGGTCAGTGCCCAGCGGCTGGCCCTGCCCGGCTCTACACACACGACCGGAGACCCCCAGCCCGCCACTGCCCTACCTGATGGGGGAACCCTGGAGCAGCCTGGGCATCCCCTCACGTGCCCCATGCCCACAGGGAATAGGGCGACGCGTGCCCTGGTGCCAGCCGTGATCGGAGGCATCCTATTCTTGCTGCTCCTCGTGTTGCTGGGGCTCGGGGGGCTGCACTGGCTGTGCAAGAAGGGCGTCTGCCCCTTCGGGGGCCATGAGGGCCCTGAGGCCGCCAGCGGGGCTGCTGGGCCTGAAGCCACGGGCTCCGCAGCAACCGCCTCCAACTTCGACAACATCCTCTTCAATGAGGTGGGCCCCACGGCCAGGGTTGGGGGCAGCCTGCCCTCTCCGGCAGGGCTCCCAGACGAAGCTGTCCTTTGCCCTAGGACCACATCACCCTGCCGTCCAGCCTCAACCTGTGACTGCACCCCAGGCCTGCTGGCCCTCCACCATGGCCAGGAGGCGGCAGGGGACAGGAGCCCGCACGTCCTCCACCCCCAGGACTCTGCCTATGAATAAATGCTATGTCCTTGAGGCAGCCCCAGCTCTGGCCACACTCCACAGTGGGTACAGTGTGCAGGTGGTCTCTCTGGAAAACCTTCCTGCTTCCCAGGGCCCCAGCAGGACCCAAAGATGCTGTCCCAGTGAGGTAGCCCCCAGCGCACCGGGTGGGGGAAGGGGCAAGCCCAGGTACCCAGAGCTGCCCCATGGGACAGGCCCCGCACCCACAGCACTGCAGTTGGGGGCCCCCACCTGTCCCCTGGGTGCACTGCCCGTGATCGGGGCCTGAGCAGCCTGCAGAGAGGCGCAGAGAGCCCCACCCCACCAAGGCCTAGGGGTCCCTCCAGGCAGGGCAGAGCTGGGCGTGCAGGTGCCAACCTAGGTCAGGAGGCTGACCTGCACCCCCACTACAAGAGCCATGTGTGGGCTCAGGGTTCTGGTGCAGTGGGCCAGCCCCAGTGGAGTCCCGGCTCCCACAGCCAAGCGCCTGGTGTGTATCCCAGCTCCTGCCCCTGGGAGGCAGCTGGGGGAGAACAGAGGCCCCTGGTGGCCCCAAGGACGCTGGCCGGGAGGGCTGTCGCTGTGTCCTTCCTCTCTCCGGAGACACCCCAGCCCCGCCCCGACACCCCCGCCCCGAGGCCTGGGGGGACAGAATCAGGAGACGGAAGCCTTTGCAAGGTTCTGTTCTTGTTGCACAGCAGGTGTGGGTGGACAGGCCTGCGGGCCCAGCCCCGGGGACTTCAGCAGGGCCCTGCCAGGACCGAGGGCCCGCGGTGGCCGGGATTTCGAGGCTTTGGGCTCACTTTGCCCTCGGACCCTTCTCGATCGGCTTCCCAATGTCCTTCCCCCGGAGCTTGAGGCCTGAAACGAGCAGCGGGCCCCCAGAAGCCCTGAGCGCGGCCCCGGCCTGGGAGGCTTCAGACACCCTGCCTCAGGCAGCCAGCCAGCCCCGCAGGCCACGGGGAGGGCCGCCCCCGCCCTGCCCAGCCCATGGTGGCCCCAAGACGCTCACCAATGGCTCGCTCAATCTTGCCCAGAACCTGGTTGTTGGGAATCGCCCGTCCACTCTCGTAGTCCGCAATGACCTGCGGCTTCTCGTTGATTTTCTAAAAGGAAGGACTGCCTGATGCCCACCACTAGAGCGCAGGCCACGGGACCACGCCGGGCAGCCGGGCCGCACCCTCAGGAGGCCTCGGCCCGGTGCCGGGGGCCCGCCCCGCCCGGACGGCCGCCGAGCCTCACCGTGGCCAGGTCCTTCTGCGTGAGGCCCTTGCTCTGCCGGCCCTGCTGGATGACCTTGCCCACCTCCAAGGTCACACGGTCATGGTGCAGCTCCTCTGTCTCGCGGTCCAGCTTGGCTGTGTTCTTGCTGATTGAATGTTGCTTGTTCTGGCCGGCGGCCCCTGCACAAGGGAAGGGGGATGAGCCCAGACCCAGGGACGCAGGCTGAGGCTAGAGTGTGGCCGTCTTCCCGCCCCACCCTCAGCCAGGGCCCCAGGGCCTCCCCCACCGCAGGAGTACCCCACCCCGCCCCACTTGGCCTCTGGGGGCGCAAACCCAAGAACCTACACTTCTTAGAGGTCTCCACATCCTCTCCCCGTCTCTGAGCCGCCAGAATGGCCTGTGAAATCAGACAATGCTTTTGATCGGGCAAGTGGGGCACTGTGAGTTGCCAGCCCGAGCGAGGGCCAGACACGCAAGGTGGCACTGCAGGCGCCCCCTGCCCTACGAGCTAACGGAGGGGCCCATGCACCAGCCCCAGAACTTCAACCCCACTTCCCATGGGAATGGAGGGAAGGTGCCACACTTCGGTGCGATCCCAGGCAGGAATGCGGCTTCTGAGGCCTGCTGTGGCCTCACTGCACCCAGCTCCACAGGAACCTGGATCCCTGAGCAGCAGGCATGCCCAGGAGGAGACGCTGGCCACGGGGACTAACTGCCTGCGGCTTTGGGCGGCCAGCAGCCAGGAGTGGTTAGATCCTGTCCCCCCGCAGAGGAAGGAGGGCCATGGTACCTCCAGCCTCCTGTTCCAAGATACCAGCAATTGGCAGCCACACACACACACACACACCCCAAAAGGGACACTTTGTCTCCAAAGTCTTACTGCCTCCCTGCTCCCCTCCAAAAGCAGGTGCTTTAAAACTGGAAACTTTGTGCGCACACTCTTAACTCCTAGAACCACCCCCAGGGCTCTAGTCCCTGCCTCACCTCCCACGCAGCGCCCAGCCCACCACCGGGAAAACAGTGCTGGGGCCTCTGCACACACAGGGGAGGCCCGCATGGAGCCCCTGGCTTGTTTTCATTTACTTATGATAAAGAATTACAGAGCAAGGGAGAGAGAGCTTCCATCTGCTGGCTCACTCCCCAAATGGCAGCACTGTCAGAGCTGGTTCAAGCCTCAGCCACGGCCCCCTTGTAGGTGCACAACCCAAGCATTTATGCCATCCTGCGCTGGTCTGGGCAAGTGGGGGCAGTTGGGACTTGAACCGGCGCCTTTATGGGATGCAAGTAGGTGGCTTTCCTGGCTAAACCACAGCGCCAACCCCAATAAGTCATCAACACACACACGCAGCTGTGAGGCCCTGGGCCGGTCTGGCTGGAGGAGGTGTCAGGGAACAGCGAGGCTACAGGGACAGCGACGTCCAGGCCTGGCCGTGGCTGGGGCTCCAGCTCCTCACAGGTGGCTCACTGCTCTGCGCCAGATGCGCCCCTCAGCCCTGGGGACCTGCAGGTGACCCCCCCAAGCGCGCAGGCAGCGGAGGACCTCGGGGAAGCCTGTTTCCCACACTCGCAGATGGGGCACGCAGGGTCCACGCGCGCGGACGCTCAAGTCCAAGTCGCCCCGGACCTGGCACAGGCGCCCTGCCGCGGACCACGCGCCTGGCGGGGCTCCCGGCCGCACGCAGCCCACTGTGCGAGCCCAGGCCAGAGGACACCGGGCCGCGGCCCACTCCCCGAGGCCTGCCCCGCTCCTCCGCCGCGTCCCCGCCCGGGCCCGCGATCCCCGATCCCGATGGGCCAGGCACCTGCTTGGACTTGGCCTGCGCGGCCGTGGGGCCCTTCTTGCGCAGCACCGTCACGGTGTCCCAGTCGCTCTCGGCCATGGCGCGGGGCGGCGGCGGCTCCGCAGCGACTCCAGACCCGGCGCGGCGACGACGTCCCCTCGGCGCCTCCCGCTTCCGGCGTGCGCCGCGCCCCGCCCCGGTGCGCACGGGCCGCGGCCGCTCGGAGCCAATGGGCGCGCGGCTCGGCCGGGGGCCTCCCGCCTGGGCGCGGGCCGGGATCGCCGCTCCGCCCGGCCCCGAGCCCCGCGCGCGGCGCGCCCTGCTCCAGCGGCGCCCTGTGCGCGGTTGGGCCTGTGCGCGCGAGTGGCTGCGCGGGGCCCGCAGGTGCGGGTGGCTGCGCGGGGTCCACAGGTGCGGGTGGCTGCGCGGGGCCCGCAGGTGCGAGGGGCCGCGCGGGGTCCACAGGTGCGGGGGCCGCGGCGCCCTGGCCCGGCCCTGTGCGTGCGGGGTCCACAGGTGCGGGTGGCTGCGCGGGGCCCGCAGGTGCGGGGGCTGCGGTGTCCTGGCCGGGTCGCTGCCCGCGCTCCAAGCAGGCCTCGGCCTGGGGAGGAGTGATTGCCGGGGACGGGGCGGCAGCGGGTTTGCTGGGAAACGCTGGCCTGGAAGAGAGGGCAGTCCAAGGAAAAGGGTGCCGGGCTGCGGGGGCTGCGGTGCATGTGCTCAGCGCGGTAGCCTAGTGGCTAAAATCCTTGCCTTGCCTGTGCTGGGATCCCATATGGCCGCCAGTTTTTTTAATTATTATTATTATTTATTGGAAAGAAGGAAAGACAGAAAAACCTTCTGTTTGCTGGTTCAGTCCCCAAGTGGACACAACGGCTGAGCTGAGCCAATCCAAAGCCAGGAGCCAGGAGCCTCTTCCGGTTTTCCCTTGTGGGTGCAGGGTCCCAAGGCTTTGGCCAGTCCTCCTCTTCTTTCCCAGGCCACAAGCAGGGAGCTGGAGGGAAAATGGAGCTGCCAGGATTAGAACTGGTGACCATATGGGATCCTGGCGTGTTTAAGGAGAGGACTTTAACCACTAGGCCACCGTGTCGGGCCCAACTTTGTCAGTTTTATTTGAGGCTCCTGGCAAAGTTTGTCTCCCAGGGCACCCAGGGGGTGTGTGACCACCAAGATGTCCTGCCCGACCTGTCCCGGGAGCTGGTGCTGCTGTGTGTGACATTGCAAGCACCCAGAAGTGGCTTTCCTGTGTGGACTGGAGTGGGGAACTGGCAGTCCAGCCGGCCTGGCCCCAGCTGTCAGTCTCAGGCACTGTGAGCCAGAGCGCCCGCTGTCCTCCACGGACACAGGGAGCAGAGCTGGGACCACAGCCAGGCACTCCGCGCTGGGCTGCAGCGTGGGACCCTGACGCCGGCACAGCCTCTCCACGCCCCCGGGCTGAGAGAATGCAATGGCGGTCCACCATGCGGGTGGAGGCTTCCGTGGAACTTGCAATTTTCAACAGCAGAGCTGTCTCGGAAACAGAAATCGGCCTGGAAGATTGGCCCCCATGGATGGACAGTGTGTGGGCACCCCGACTTAGTCGTCTGGCTCTCTGGGGAACTCATCAGCGTGACCACTTCTTCCCCCTCCTTTATCCTGCATTTGCTTCTTTGTTGCTGCTCTTGCAGAGTGTCGGGGTGTGGAGGGCACTGATTTGACATCCCCTGATTCACTGCCCAGAGGGCTGCAACAGCAGGGCTGCGCCAGGCCGAAGGCAGGAGCCAGGAGCTTCTTCTGGGTCTCTGACATGGGTACAGGACCCAAGCGCCCGTATCTACCACTGCTTTCCCAGCTACCTTAGCAGGGAACTGAGTGGGGACTCCTGTGGGCGGCCACCTGGGACATGGGTGCTGCACACTGGCCTGGCCTCTGCATGC